AGAAATAGTGGATCCTTTTGATGAAACCAAACGTATGTTTAAAGAAGGCTTTATGTGTGCAAAAAGTCCCTTTAAAGTTGGGCGCCGACTCATTCTCCCCAACCCAATAGCTTTATTCAGTTTTTTTACAACAAAGAATATATAAAAAAAGATAAAAATAGACAAATTAGATAAAAACTAAAGCCAAGATTACAGTAGTTTTTAAAAGTTAATATGTTTAGAAAATGGATTACCAGACTAACACACTCTACAAGTCTTTTATCAGACTTTTCTCTAACTTTATTATCTGTTATCTTTATCTATTATGCTTTCAGATAAGATTTCTTTCTTCCAAACTTCCGAAATATGGGATTTGCCCAACGTTGGATCGGAAGAGGCTCTTATAGTGATGTCTACGAGCTGATCAACCATGATCCGTAAGTAGAATCTGTAATCTTGTATACTTTAGAGCTCAAATCCATTACATGTTTGTATACTAATTATAAAAAGCTTTCTTAGACCAGCTGTTCTAAAGTCAATTCATTGCTCAACAAAGGAGCAACGAAAAGACTATGAAAAAGAATATGAAACGTTGAAAGAATTGAAGCATCCGAATATTATTGGATATATTCGAAGTGAGCAAATTGATGAATATCGTTTTGGAATTGTTATGGAATATTGTCGATTGGGAAGTTTGAAAATGGGTACGTCTAAAGCCATAGCTAGATCTACTGAGTGGCTAGATCTATTGAATGGCTAGATCTACTGAGTGGCTAGATCTACTGAGTGGCTAGATCTATTGAGTGGCTAGATCTACTGGATGATTAGATCTGCTGAGTGGCTAGAAGATCTACTGGGTGGCTAGATCTAGCTTTGGGGCCAAGGTTAGGAAAGCCTGGCTAAGTTAAAGAGTAAGTTAAACTTATTGTTTCTAAGAGTAAGTTAAACTTATTGTTTCTCGTTTACTATGCAATTCCCGGTACCTGTACATACAAATAATAGTAGAGGAGAGTATAATGTTTCTTGAGCCTGCTTTTAAAATCGAATCCGACATCAAATTACACTCACAATGCCATGGCACATGTCAATGTTTCTGTTTTTCCGTACTATACTATGCACTAGTGAATTCCTGCACGCATTACAAGCACACATCACAGTACAGCTGACATGTGATGAGTTGTTAAATGCCGTGTGACTTCTTCAAATTCAAATTTTAGTGGTGTTTAATCCAACCCTCATCAGCAGGGTTGTTTCAATGCTCACTTTGACCACCATGATAGTCCAGTTCTAATACATTTCAGTGATATTGAATCCAACAATAACCTACACAGTGAACACCGTTATTTGTTGGAGTAAACAAGTATTTGAAGCTGTTGATTACATGTATCGTGAATATAAAGTGATCCACCGAGACATCAAGCCAGAAAAGTAAGCTGTAGAGCTTTGTAGAGCTGTAAAGTTAATTGTCTTTTGTTGTAGGGTAAAAAGTTTAGCAATCACCACTCAGTTTGCTCAGCTATAATCAAATCATTCAGCATTTTCGTCGCCGACACTTGGATCCTAAAGATCGGCGATTTTGGGTCAACAAGAATCATTGAGAAAACATGCACGGGAACTTTTGCGGGAACACAACGCTATATGAGTCCACCACAATTTGATAGAAATAAAAAAGGATGGGGACAAATGGAAACCAGTTTACAAGTTATACGAGAAAGATTTGCATTATTAAAAGCAAAAACTTTAAGGATTCTCATAGAAACGACGTTTACAGTCTTGGACTCACTCTATGGGAGATGATTGAAAGAAGGTAAGCAAAAAACTCAAATTCAAATTGTTCAAAGGTTTAACAAAATTCGGGCAAATCTAAAGGTGACAGTGTTTAAAGATTGGTAACTATTTGATAGTTATCTAGTATCTATTTGACACTTATCTAGTATCTATTTGATACTTATCTAGTAACGATTTGATACTTATCTATTAACTATTTGATACTTATCTAGTATCTATTTGATACTTATCTATCAACTATTTGATACCTATTTGGTCACTATTAGATACCAGTTTGGAATCTATTATTGGGTTGTCCAGTTATGAATGCGCGTTTTTTACTATTCTGTAAACTTCTCAAGATACCGAAATCAAGAAAAGGATATATATATGAGTATTATTCGAAAGCTGAAGATCTCCTCTACATTTTGATATAAAAAGTTTTTCAATTTGTTTTGTTTTCCGAAGTCTAGTTTGCAATAAAACCTGCAATAAAACTAGAGTTCTAAAGTTGAGGGATTTGGAAAATTTCGTCAAATCAAATCTGATTGAATTTTCCAACTATTGTTTCATTTTTTTGTCATATCTTTTTTAGGTGTACAAATTTCGATCGTTCATTGCGTCCAAGCGCCCGAGAGATTCTAACAATGCTTGCAAATTTGCAAGAGGTTTATATTGAAATTGAATCAATGTCTGTGCTATTGAATTTTCAGAAACATCAATTGATTGCTGAGTTCGAATTTTTGCCACAAAAAGATGCCAAACAAAAAGAACTTCACAGACCAATTGGATTTAACGGGAAAAGGGAAATGACTTTAATTTCTGAGTCTTTAAATTCTCAAGACTTTGCATCTTTTGAAGACGCAACAGTTTCCCAAAGAAGTGAGAACTTTTTTCGACGAAACCCGGAATTTATTGGTGAGTTTGATGCGACTCTGATGTGTGCTTATGAGGAAATTCTCGCTTACCATCCATCAACTTACACAGATTCTTTATCGGAGAAACTTTTTGAGTCTTTATGAAGAAAAGAAACAACAAGGATACAAGTTTCATGAAAAAGACGCACTAAAACGAGAGCTGAGAGAAAAATTGGCGAACAGAAAAGCGTGGATTGAGCCAATCATTGTATTTCTAGAGCTATGGCTTTTGAATGATATTTACTGTCAATTAGAATGCTTTAGCTGGTTTTTCGAATTTCTAAATTCATGGAAAGGGTATTACCTTTCACCGTGGGGTGATTACCAAATGATGGGACATTGCATACGCTGGCTCGAAGAATTGAAAGCAATTCGCTACACGGTTCCAATCAGTTTTAAGCGCTTTTTTCAAAAATCAACTTACCAGGAATGGTTATAAATAACGAAAAACGAGAATCTCTTTGTACAGAGATCACTTTTAGAAACGAGGCTTTTCCCGGGAAAGTGGTCAAAGCAGGGACAAAATGAGTGTTTGATTTTTGAGCGGGAGAGTCAACGCGGGAGAGTCTTCGAGGAAAGTCGCATGAATTCGGATGCAATGACATTTTTGAATACAGAATCCGTTTATTTGTATGAGTTTCTCAAGGCGGCTTGCGAGAAAAAGCGAAACTTTTCAACGATAGCAAAATATTTAAAAATGGAATATTGAGAGGTTAAGCTAACGATAGAAACTCCGAAAATACAAGGCTTCAGCCCGCCAATTCCTAAATATTTCTTTCAACTGAGAAATCCACCACGATTTACGTGCATTTGTTCAATGAAATGCTCTACTCAACCATTTGAGCCTTTGAAATCAATTTATCAACTAAATCATTTGTCATTTGAGCCATTGAAAGCTGAGATGAAAATTCCCGTTTATGAGTGCAGTTCACAAGAAGTGCTTGACTATTTATCATTGTATTATGCAATTATCGATTTATTTCATTTAGCCGAAATCGGATTGACTGCAGAGTCGATTTATCCGAAAATTCAAACTCAAAACTTTGATAATTACTTCAAGACAAAGACAAATTGTTTTCTTTTTTTGAATTACTCAAACGATAATTCACAAGAAGTGCTTGACTATTTATCGTTGTATTATGCAATTATCGATCTTGATTGAGCTATTTTTTCTTGATCATCCCGATAATTATGAAAGTCCCGAAAGAATTCCGTGTCTTGATTTCACTTTAAGCTATCGATCTCTAGATTTTGCTGAGGCAAAGCAATTTATTGAAGAGACACCGATGAAAAGAAGAACATGGACATTGATCAATCATCGCCTTGAGGCTCAAATCGTGAAATACGATGGGAAAGCGTTGAGTGAATGGTTTGATTTGGAAGACGAGACTTCCTGGCCAAAACAGCTCCGTGAGCAAAAAGGGATCACCGAGGTGTATGACCGGGAAATTCGTCAAGTCAAAAGAAATAGGCTTATAGAAGCGTTTCGGTTTTTGAGTCGGCACCTTTAATGGACTGTACTCTTATATTTCAATCTGTGAAAATAAAGTTTGTTTAAAGTGAGAGATTTGGAAGCACAAGCTTTCTCCTTGTTCCGTATACCTTGCTTGACTAAGAAAACAATAATGCTTTTTGTTTTCAAAATGATTCCTTAAGTTATTTAAAAATCTATGTATTATAAAGGGAATAATATTGGATTGGTGAATTGAAAACTGATCAATTGGAGAATCTTTAGAATCCATTCTTTGTCTCACAACGTCCAATGAAAGATGCTGATCAAGCTGAAAATTGCCAACTCTTGCCACGCTCTCCAAAGCTTCCAACGCTCCACGCTTTTTTGCAAGGCTGGTTGGATGCTTGAAAAATTCAATGAAACTAACGATGAAAATTTGAACACTGTTCGACCTTTTGCTTCGTCAATAAATGCCATTTCATTATCAACTTGGCATATCCTTTTTGTTTTATGGGATCATAATCCCTTTTTAACTTGGTGAAGCTATCCTAGCTCAAAATTCGCTCTCTGATCCAGGTCCGCTTTGCGTGTTCTCTTCAATTTTGGGATTACTAACCATTGTATTGTTTTAATGACTGGTTCAATGTTTGAATCGGTTGCTTAACAAAGTCGTAAAATTTTGGCCAAGAAGAAGAAGAAGAAGAAGAAAATTATGATTCATGCACTTATCAGCTATTTTCCAGCAGATTCATTCGTGTGCCTGGCCGCTAATAAACTACTTTATTATACCGTTATAAATACCCAAATGATTCCCCCAAAAAAAAACAAGTATTGCGTTCGTTCGTTCGTTCGTTTTAAAAATGGAAATTGATGATTATTTCTCAATGGCTGATATTTCGCAACTCTTGCAGCGCATTAAAGTTGAAGATTTCGAGAATGTGGACAAGTTCTACTTGACTTCGAAAGTCGATACTCAAACTGTGGCAAGGTTCTTCAAAAGTAAAAGTAAAAGGGGTTCTAGTTCGTTTTTGAGCTGAAACTCTACCACTCTAAACGAGTTAAGCAATATCTAATCATAAAGTTTAAATCATAAAGCTGTTTACCTAGATATAAGCGCTACAGTACGCTACAGTACGCTACAGTAGGCAGTACTGTAGTCCTAACATCTAACGACTGATTTATCTAAAGCTTTCTTGAAAGATACCTTTCGAAAAGCTACCGTAATCCAGCTCTCTTTGAAAATAACTGAGCTATACTTTAAAATACTCAGCCGAAAGGCAGACTCAGTTTAGATGCTTTTACACGAGTACAGTAACTTTTCAGAAATCCATCTTTTAGCCTTTAATCGATAAAAACATATTGTAAATATTCTAATAGAAGAGCTCCTTATAGGAGCTTCGGCTAAGCTTACTCTCAAAAAAAACGCTCATACCCTCGACACGAGTACGTTTCTTTCTTTCTTTTTTGAGATATAACATATATTAGGTCGGTGAATTGAAAACTGCGGGACTTTGAACTAAAATTTATTCAACATAAAACCATGAATTCATTCGAAATAATTTCCATTATTATTGACGACTTCTGCCCATTTTACAGGCAATTTGCGGATTCCTCTTTCGTAGTAGGATTTTGGTTTGTGTGTGAGACAAGTGTGAGACTCAAAAATCGAGGACTGGAGATGTCTCAGTTTGAGCACTTTCTTCAAAAGAAACCCATTTTGGTGTCAATAGAAAAGTTGTAGAGAATCAAAAATGAGGCTTATAGCCAAATTTCAAAAAAGATACACTTAGTAGTTTCGCTTAAAATGCAAGTTTTGTGGAAATTCGTAAATTTGGCATTTCTTGAAAACCAGTTTTTGGGTCTTTCCGAAAATTTGGATATAAGCTTGATTTTTGATTCTCTACAACTTTTCCATTGACACCAAAATGGGTTTCTTTTGAAGAAAGTGCTCAAACTGTCACATATGACAATAGCCCGCAGTTTTCATTTCACCAACCCAATAGGTATCAAATTACAGTAGAGAGGATGGGTGATTTTTTTTGAGATATTACATATATTATACTTTTTGAGAATTTTCAACTCGCGAACTTTCTATCAATAAAAATTTGAAGGAAACTCATGTTCGAGACCATGAAATGTATGCCGAATTGGGAGAATCTGAAGCCATCCGGCGACAAAGAGGAACTGGAGAAGTTATTACAGTTCTTGAAATGATTTCTCATTTTTCTTTAGATATCTGGCTCATCAAGAGGTGAGAGCCAAAACCGTTCAAAGAAGATTGGCTATAAAGAGAATGAGGTTGATTTGATTGAAAATCCAACGATCAACTGTTTTCAGTCTGAATTCGAAGACATCGAAAAGGTTGAAGGTCAAAGAAGATTGGCTGGAAGAACAGGTTGGCAAAAGAATGATTCAAAGCTCAATAATAAATACGCAAAATATTAAAAAGATTCTTTATCTAGGTGTCGGTGGTGGCTCATTTCTCCTCGAGTTCAACAAAAAGAGGGTCGGCTCAACGGAAACAAGGGAAAATCGAGAACGATTGGCTGAAGTTTTCTTGAAATTGGCAATTGGTAAGTAAAAAAGAAACGTTTCCAATCGTTCTTGGATTTTAAGCACAAAAGAACAGACTTATAAAATCAACAATGGACAATCTAAATCATTCATTACATTTAGCCATAAATGATGGGACTTTCAATTTGCCAAATGTTGTTGGTATTTCGTTTGTCAAGTATCAAATGGGAAATTGCAGGATTAAGGTGATTGGTTTGGGCTCAAGCTCAAGCCGAAGCGGTTTAGTATATAGCCAAATTTTCAGAGAAATTCATTCAGTCAATTTCTTCGTAGAGGTTTTTGATAGGTTTTTACGAAAAACACGGTTTTCCTTCTCGAATTTGTTTGAAAGTGAAGCCAAATTGACTTAAAAAGATTGGAAATTCGACAATAAACACTTTTTTTTTATAGAGGAAATCATAGGTTAATTGGTGAGTTTGTTGTTTTTCAACGGAAGTACGAAAAGAAACGAAAAAAAACTTATTTGCCAACCTAATAATACCATGTTAGCGCAAAGATATTTGCTTTTAATAGTAGATGATTTTTTAATCGGTTTAGTAAAGATTTTGGTTTTAAATTGGAAATTCCGCATCCCGGAGTACCAGTTGAAATTGCAAAATGATGTCAAAAAGTGAAAATCGCCTTCAAGACCTTTTGAATACTTTTCATCGGGTAAAATCTACTGAGCTTTTTGGTTAGGTTGAAGCCGATCATGAATGGGATTTGATTTGATGCTGAAAGAGATTCATTCAGTGATTGGGCAAAATTTCGTGCAAGACATGTTCTTCAAAGTGAAAACTTCGGTGGCAAGGTTGGTCGATAGGTTTCTGTGTCTAATTGTGAAAGTCATTTCTTTCCACTGAACTTTCAGCTATCTAACATGGGATGCGCAAAATCCTGAAGATATACGAAGGTTTAAATTCGAAATCTACACACCAATTTTCCACCGAAAGACAAGAGAATTCACGTTTATTCCGTTTCGACGCAACTAATACTGTTGTACTCTTGCGTGTCCGTTGATATGTTCATTTTGATAGATCCGATTGATTGATAGAGAATCGAATAACAGTTAAATTTTGTTGAAAACAGCAAAACTTGGAATAGAAAAAGAATTAGACCAAAGAGAAAAACGTTGTGAGAAACAAAATGATAATTTAACGACTACACAACGCCCCTTTAGACGTCGCGACAAAAATACGAAAGGGCGCGTTTTAGAAAACTGTGGTGGGCCAAAATTACCGTTACATATATATGTCGTAGCCGATTATGAATGAAATTTTTTGGCAAATCTTTCTAGTAGAGCAACCCTTTAATGTATGAGGACAATATTATATCATCTTGTAGCGAATTGAATTCTGCGTCGATTGGTACCAAATTTGTGAGTTTAGGTTAAAAATTGCCGGCACTACAACGTTTCATTCAAAATCGGCTGGACCCCCGTAGCCGATTATGAATGAGTGGGTCTAGGAGCGTCCAACCTTCAAGTATTTAGTATCATTCAACGCAGAATCATTGATAATTATGTTAAATTTTTAAAATTAGCAAGATTTGATGAAAAGAAAAAAAAATTAGAGCAAAAAAACTGTTTGTTCAAGAGAAAACTTTGAAGCCCCATAATTTGTGTTCTTCTCATCAAATCTTGCTAATTTTAAAAATTTAACATAATTATTAATGATTCTGCGTTGAATGATACTAAATACTTGATGGTTGGACGCTCCTAGACCCACTCGTTCATAATCGGCTACGACATATACATTTCGAGTGCCCCCCCCTGTGTCCCCCTTTTGCCCCCCTAAGTGTCCCCCTCAAAGTGTCCCCTTTTTGTCCCCCTAAAGTGTCCCCCTAGTATCCCCCTATTTTTTTTCATATCAAATCACAGCTTTTTGCTCTCCAAATGTGCTTTAACTTTTTAAACTGAATGATCGGCAAATGCATCGAACTCGAAACATCTTAAACGGAAAAATTTAAAAAGTTAAAGCACATTTGGAGAGCAAAAAGTTGTGATTTGATATGAAAAAAAATAGGGGGATACTAGGGGGGGGGGACACTTTAGGGGGACAAAAAGGGGACACAGGGGGGACACTCGAAATGTATAGTTACATATAAAAAAAGTCTCTGTATAAAAAGCAACTCAAAACGTCAAAGATTTCTCTAAAAAATAACTTCTATTGTCTCATAACAATTCATAAAAAAACTATTCCTTCTCAAACAGATCTCCAATAGCTTTTACACAGGCGTTCAAACGTCGTAGAAAAGCGTCGATCGTGGCGAGACGGTATAGGAGATCCAGCTCTTCCCAGGCCTTTTCGAAGCTCTTCCCAAGCTCTTCCCAAGCCTTTTTCAAACTATCAACAGTTTTGTGTGGTTTTGAACCTGCTTGGCTTCAAGGACACTCCAAACATGAAAAACTTGATTGTACAATAGCAAGAAAGTGTTTACCAGAACTTGCAAAATGATTTTCTGACGGTCTGGCCTTGATCTGACTAGAGTTTTGACACTTTAGAAAACTGCCGAAATAAAAAATAAAATAAAACCCTTCTTGGAGATCCGTTTTGCTTAATTCTGCTTTTATTCGATGAGAAATTGAAATTGTGAATCGAATGGGTTCAAGAAGTTAGTAAATGAGGGAAATCTGAAGGTAAGATTACAGTGTAGTTTTCCAGCCTATCTTAGAAACTCTATTCCTACAGAATTTCTCAAAAAGCTGTAATGAGAACTGGATTCTACGAAAAGCGCATTAAACATTTCATTTCTTTTCTAAATTTTCTCTTTTGGTTATTTCGTAATCTTGCCCTTTTCTATGGATTGTTTACGTCAAATTGGAAAAGAGGAAAGAGTGGGTGGAGCCTGAGGAAACAAACAAGTGCATTTGAGAGAACAAACATGTGAGAGGCAGACGTTTTTCACAAATCGAAATCAGAAATTCAGAAACGTTTCTCAGTTTTTTGCTTTAAACTATTCGTTTCTATTCAAAAATGGCCTCAAATCCAGCACCGGATTTTCCGGATTTCCCACCGAAACACATACGGCATTGTGTCTATTTCGAGTTCTCGAAGGGTTCGACTCCACAACAAGCAGCGAAAAAAATCAATGAAACTTACGGGCAAGAGACAGCGAATGTCAAGGTGAAAGATTTCAATGTAAAAGTTTATAAAAAAGACAGTAAATAAAAGATATTTATTTTTATGCATTTCCATTCACGAGAGGAATCGAATGTAAAATGTTTAGAATGCTTAAATGCTAGAAAATGCTTAAAATCCTTAAACCAGCAAACCCATATAATTCTTATAATCTGGTTCCAATATGGTTTCAATATGGTTCCAATATGGTTCAGATACAGTTCCAATATGGTTCCAATATGGTTCCAATATGGTTCCAATATGGTTTATACCATATTGGAACCATATTGGAACCGTATTGGAACCTTTTATTGGGTTGGGGAGAATGAGTCGGCGCCGAAAATCAAAGAAATTTCTAAAACTTATAGCAGACTTTGTCAAATGATATGCGTTTGATATCCGTAGAAGGGTAACTAATTCTCTACAAAATAATATTTAAAAGAGAACTCAAACAGCGCCTCAACTCAACAAAGGATCATTTTTTCACAAAATCGATAAACTGTCATCTAGAGTAAACGGTTGGAGGGATCTTCCTGAAAATTTGGTAACTTATGTAATTGAGTGTGCTCTATCTTTTTTATATAAACACCAAAGGAGGTTTATGTGGAAGAAACTGTTCAAGCAATGAGTCGGACTTTTTGTCATTTTGATTAGCTGTGTTTGGGAATCCATAAAATCCCAAAAAAGAAAAGCTTTGTGGAATCTCTCAAAAGCCATTTTGTAAAGAAATAGTGGACCATTTTGATGAAACAAAACGTGTATTTAAAGAAGGTTTTATGTGTGCAAAAAGTCCCTTTAAAGTTTGGCGCCGACTCATTCTCCCCAACCCAATAGATCAAAATAGGAACCATATTAGAACCATATTGGAACCATATTAAAACCATATAGAAAAGAAAATGCTTAAAATCCTCAAACCAGCAAACCCATATAATTCTTATAATCCTCAAATCAACAACCAATTCTTTTTTTCAGCAATGTTCCCAATGGTTTGATCGTTTCCGTGCGGGTGATACGAGTATGGGCGATCAGGGGATTTCTTTATCAACAACATCAGCTCGTCCTGTGCAAACCCAAGTCGAAGATATGTTGAAATTGTTGAGCAGTAATAGCCGAGTCTCGTCGAAGAAAATGGCACAACAATTGGGTGAGTGGGGAAAAATTGATATCTGGAGTTGGTTTCAGTAAATTTTAAGCAAAAAAAAACTTTTAAAAGTGTCAAAATAATTCTAGTGATTAAAATAATCCACTTTAGACTAGGATCTACTAAAGAAATTCTATATTTTAACTTAAAGATCGACTTTTTCCCCTAATCGACCCTGTTTCCCTTTGACTCCCTGTTTCCCTGTTTTCTGCCTTTTTCTTGTGACATCTCATTTCCAAATTCTGTTTACGTTTCAATGGGAACCTCATTTCAAGCAAAAACATCTTAGCAAAGCAAACAGAAAACCCAAAAAGCTTAGGGAAAGTTAAGTAAAACCAAGTTATACCCAATCAATCCAAAAATGAAATTTCACTCTTGACTTGAATGATGGCCTATGTCTTTCTTTTGGAGCCTCTTATCTGGATTAGTGGTGTGCCAGATGCTATATGATTGTGTTCGCCAATAGAGAACACAAGGCATTAAAACCTAAAAAAGAAAATCAGCTACCGGGTCGAACTCGAAAGCTCTCGCCTCGCGTTCTGATCCACTACCACTCGGCCAACGCCGTAACCACCTAAAGGCAGGGTTATATTGCCGAGGTTTGATTTTAAAAACTCCTTAAAGAAACTTTAAATGCGTATAACTTTTGAAAAAGTGTTGGTTAGCAAAAAAAAACAGTATCATGATTAACGTGAAATTCTGCGTTGAATGGCCGTGTCCAGTTGCCGTGTCCAGGCCAGCAAATCCAATTGACCTTCCCTTGTTAGATTTAACTCTTACAACCCAGCTTAAAGTTTAAAATCTTTTCCAGAACTTCTCCAGATCTTATAGTGCCATAAGGATTACAAATCTCTAAGAATTTTCGAAATTTAAAGCTTCAGCAAACGATCTCGAATGTCAGGTTCTTGTAAGCTACAGCTACAGCTGCAGCTACAGCTACAGCTACAGCTGCAGCTACAGCTACAGCTACAGCTACAGCTGGAAGCTAGCAGCCAAGTAAACAAGTGAAGCTTCTTTAAAACAAGATTCACTTTCTTACAATTAGTAAAAACATCTTTCTATACAAACCAATTGCCAATAAAAGAGTCTAATTGTCAAATCTCAGGTGTTTCCCATGACACAATTCTCCGGAATCTTCGCGAGCTCGGCTACAAAGCGAAACGCGGTCAATGGACACCTGACACTCGCCGAAAGAATATCGCCACAAGGAAAACACAAAAATAAACCCCAAAAAAAAAATGTGTTGAGCGATAATTTATTATGTAAATTTGTGTATATATCAAATAAAGAGAATAAATTAGAGGCAATCAATTGTCACCAAGATGAGGGAAGATTCATCAATTCAACTTCATTAATTCATCAACCGAAAGAAGGAAACAAGTGAAAATCACGAGATCGGCAGTGTGCACATAAATGTCAGAGAAAATGAAAAATGGTCTAAAATTTGGGGGTAGGCTAGTTTCCGTAAATTTCTTTGCGCAATTGGATCGTTTGCGCAACTGGGTCATTTGCACAACTGGGTCGTTTGCGCAACTTGCCATAACTTTTTTCTAAGTTCGTCAATCTTTATGATTTCTAGTATCATTTTGTTGCACTTATTGAGATCTACAAAATGAAACCAAAATCATAAAGATTGGCGCACTTAGAAGAAAGTTATGGCGAGTTGCAGTTGCCCAGTTGCCCAGTTGACCCAGTTGCCCAAAGAAATTTGCGGAAATTAGCCTACCCCAAAATTTGAAATAAAAGATATTGAAATTGAAAAGTTTACCTAAAAAAGAACCAAGAAGAAAAAAAGAATGAGAATAATTTAAGCCCAAATCCCTTCGGAATCGTCCATTTCGGCTGAAGTGGCCATGAGATCGCCTGAAAATTTCAGCATTTTCCTTCAACTTTCAATTCAAAATTGAACAGTAAAGATTCATTAGGTTTTTCTTAGCTCTTGCATTCGCTAGCTTCTTCTTTGCTTATTTTCTTAGCTCTTCTCAGCTCTTCTCAGCTCTTTTCAGCACTTCTTAGCTCTTCTCAGCCCTTCTTAGCTCTATCTAGCTCAAATCAATCAATTCTATTCTTTTCAGCTCAAATATCTGTTTTTCGTTAGGATTTGTTTGTTTTCAAATAGTGTTTTTCATCTTTTCTTTCAAAAGGTCAAAAGGTTTCAAAAGGTTTCTTTCTTTATTTCAACTTTCAAAAGCTATAATAATCTGGCCTCAATGTTATTCAGTTTCATTTAGTTCTCGAAGCATTCTGCCAATTTGCAAAAGCTACCGTAATCTTATCCAGAAGTTAGAGTATTTCTTTATTTAAAATTGATTATTTATCCAGAAAAGCAAAATTTCTGATGAGAGTGGGATTCGAACCCACGCCTCCGAAGAGACCAGTGCCTTAAACTGGCGCCTTAGACCGCTCGGCCATCTCACCATGAAGAGGCGTCCGCTCAAAAAGGCTTTTAATGGGTCAAGCTGTCAATTTTGACAGGTGGCAGTAAAACGAATCTTGAGGCTTGGCATTCAAAAAAATTAAAAACAAGTTTCTGTAAGGAATTACGGAGGAATAAAAACTTAGACAAGACACGTTAGGCTTTAATACTTGCCACGTTTGAAAACAGGTTTGAAAGTGACAAACTATTGTCTTATCTTGCAAACCTGCAGCTCGGCTCGGCGGTTTACTCGGCGGTCCAAGCATTCCAATCGGAGCATTGTATTGTTGGACGTGAATTGGATGAGATGAAGAAGAAAGGGGAAGAATTGGAGCACCCATTCCAATGATTGGACCTAAGAGGAAATTGGGTTTTTTTGAATTTAGTCACTTTCAAAAACCAACCTTGACTCCCTTGTGCCACAATCTGTTTGGCGAGATTGTTGACGGTGCCCTGATCAGCGCACATCATCAACGTTCGACGCTCGTTTTCCTAAATAGTTTCGTTTTTAGAAATCATAAATGAAATCCACTTGTTTCAATTGAGCAATGAGTGCATCTCGATGTCTCCTCACTGTCTCAATCTCTTCTCGCGGAGCTCTTCCCTTCTCCAATAAAGCCAAATGCGCATCTTTCTCTTGGATTGCAGCCAAGAGGGTTTCTTGTCTAGAATAATATTTTTAGCAGATAAAGATTATTGTTTACAAAAAGCAAAATGTATCTGATGAGAGTGGGATTCGAACCCACGCCTCCGAAGAGACCAGTGCCTTAAACTGGCGCCTTAGACCGCTCGGCCATCTCACCATGGCGAGACACGTCTCAAAAAGGCTTTTAATCACAAGCTGTCAATTTTGACAGTCAAACGAATCTTGGCTACATCCCTTTTATCTTCAAAAAGATTTGCAATGCAAAACGCCTTTAAAACTCAAAATCTACAAATGGCTCTGAATCTATTCCTTCAAGAGAATTCTTTAAACCCAATCATAAACAAGTAAGTTTTCTCTGGTTAATGCATTTTCTAAAAAGGCAACGAAAACTATCGCAAATCGAGCCGTCAGTTTCCACTCGATCAGCTCGGTTTGGATATAATTCGATGGGGAATCTCAGTCAATAATACCCAAATTGAATGAACAAATAAAAGTGGCGCTTTACGGTAGTTTTAGATACCTTTTCCTGATACTTACTTAAGCTGTAGCAGCTGTTCAACGTGTTGCCTCCTTTCCGCATCAATCGCTCTCATCGTGGCTTCCCTGTCCGGTCCTCCCGTCTCAGCCATTCTCCTCTTCAACTCTTGAATCTCCCGTTTTGATTCAGTGAACTGAAAATGGACTTTTTTTTGTCTTCAACAGTTTGTTGAAGAAAACTTCAACAGTACTCAAATTCTTTAAAAACAAAATTGTGCTCGATCAGCTCTAGTGCTCGACTACAAAAAAAGTCAAAAAGTGGGTAAATTTCTAGGTGAAAACTCTATTCGATACCCTGATATCAAAGGATTTCTGCTAAATGGGATTGGGATTTGAAAAAAAAAATGGTTTAAAAACGAACTTGTTGGGAGACTTGACCCATCAAATGCTTTTGTTGAGCGAGGTGAACTTCTCGTTCAGCGGTGATCGAAACCGATTCTCTTAAAGCTTCCTCTAGCTCTTCGATTCTAAAAAGTGATTTGTTTGTTTGATCTTTAAAATATTTATGTCTGTGGCAAATAAAAATCGATAAATATAGTAAAACTTGAATGTAAAATAGTATGAAATCTGGTTGCTCACTGCTTAATGTCTTTTTTTACCGTATAAGTACTCGTTAACCTTTATGAATCGATTCTACTACGAATTCTAGACCTATAATGAAATTAACGTATGATGTATGAAGTACTGTATGTTAATCATAAGCTCGTTAACCGTATGAAGTACTGTATAGTAATCTAAAGTACTCGTTGACCTTTATGAATCGATTCTACTACGAATTCTACTACTACGAATTCTACGAATGAAATTAACCTATGACGCATGAAGTACTGTATAGTAATCATACGCTCGTTAACCGTATGAAGTACTGTATAGTAATCTAAAGTACTCGTTGACCTTTAGGAATCGATTTTACTACGAATTCTAGACCAATAATGAAATTAACCTATGACGTATGAAGTACTGTATGTTAAGCATAAGAAGTTTTGCAAATTTAAATAATAAATCAATTCCGATGTCTGTCACCTCTTTTGTTGTTGGCTGTGCTGTTGAATCGGATTCGCTGCAACTAACCCCGTTCGTCCATCGATTTTCAGTGCTCCTAAAACATTTCCCTATCAATTGCTTGAATATCTTTCATCACCCAGTCTATGATAGATACTAAGCCCGGACAAGAGGGCTCTAAGCTAGGATATGAGGAGAAATATCAACTCGGGAACAGAGAAAAGCTGGATTTTGGTTAGTTTTGAGAGTTTCCCCTCAAAATTCACTGAAATCCGAGAGTTTTTTTTGAAGAGATTGGTTCTCTTGATGGAAGGGTTTTTCTAAAATATGCTCTGGAAAAAGTTATTGTAATCCTACTTTGGCTATCGTTCAAAACTGTTCAAGAAGAACCGTAATCCCAAAAGCAGGAGTACAGTAACTTGCTCCTAATAGCACCTTTTAGATTCCAATCAAAAAAAACAACCAAGTAAAAGATAGAGAGAGTGAGTGGCACTCGAATGATTCCAATAAAAATGGTCAGAACGGCCGCTTACCTTCAGGAGTCATCGGTTCTCCTCTAGCTAGAAACGATATAAAAACTACTGTTGATGGGAAATCTGTTATACTTTCAGCCATAGTTGAATATCTTGTGAATTTTATGGAAAAGATTAAACAAATAGTGAAACGACGAAAATCTATGCTTCGTAGCTTTCATAGTTGTTTCAATTTCTCCACAAAACTAGAAGATATTCAGCTGGGGACACTTTGAAAGTATAAAATATTTCGTTAAACAAATTTACTTAAGAATCTGAGGGGGTGGGACAAATGCGACCTTTTTTTTGCTGGAAAAGGCCTTAGGAAAGGTCGTAGAGCTTCAAAAATGTTTTCATAGAAGGGAATCGTATGCGTAGATTCCGAATTTCGACAAATCAGACCTCGCTGACACGTCGAATTTGGGCTAAAAGGCAAAAAACTGCGGATAAGCGTTAAGTTGCCTAGTTTTTGCCTTTTAGCCCAAATTTGACGTGTCAGCGAGGTCTGATTTGTCGAAATTCGGAATCTACGCATACGATTCCCTTATATTGAAATATTTTCGAAGCTCTACGGCCTTACCTAAGGCCTTTTTCAGCAAAAAAAGGTGCGCAAATGTCCAGGTGCGCAAAAAAAAGGTCGCATTTGTCCCACCCCCGAATCTGAAGATTTTTAAAATAAATTCATTATTTTACACATTTTTTTAGACTATTGAATTGCTCAAAATAGTGATTAAAGTCAAATTTAATGTTTTTCAAACAAAAAAACTTCAACTTCTACAATTGTTTACCCTTTTACTTTGCATTTAAATATCAAAAAGCAATAAAATGAAGGTAATCTTGGATTAAAATAAGCAATAAAATTGTTGGTAATCTTGGATTACCCAGAAAATGAAAACTCATTTACCTTCTCGATTAACGGATCCTCTCAATTGTTTGTACTGGGAAATGATTTGATCCTTTTCCCTCTCGAGCGCTCGAACCATTTTCAGCAATTTGTCGATCTCGGACCGGGCTTGTTCAAGCTGAAATAAATTGAGACAATTGAGACAATTGAGACAATTGAGACAATTGAGACAATTGAGACAATTGAGGCAATTCTTCGCCTTCAACCCTCACTCACATCTTTCCTCAACTCATCGGCTCCCTTGTCAACCATTGCTGCTGTCAGTCTGTCTTTAGCTGCTTGCACTTCTTTCCCAAGGTCTCCAATCTTTTCATTTTGCGATTCCAACAAGATGTCCCTAAAACGAGTTTACGATTTTACGTATTTACGTAACGTAACGAATTTATTTATTTACTCTATTAGTACTGCGAGCTGCGTGGGAGTAAATCGAAAAAAGAGTACTGCAAGACAAATTTTCATTTATCATTTATCCAAAGTTATTTCATTTGTGAGTGTTTAGTAGCCCACTTCTTTGCTAACTAAATAAATTTGTTCCAGCTTGTTAGCTGAATCTCTTTCAATTTCCTTATCAATTTTTCAAAGCTATTTTTCTCGTCATTGATCGTTTGGAATGCTCTTCCATCCCTGCTCTTCCATTAGAGATATTTCCAATTTAAACACTTTTAAAAGCATTACTTTCTATCAAACTCGTAAACTAAATTGAGCATTTACGTTCATTATTACATTTTGAATCGATAGAAATTGAAAATTTATTTAAAAGTTGATCCCATATTATATCGTGGTTTTTTAAAAATTTTGTTTTTCTCTGTGCATACCGTATTTTCTCTAATAGTAGTGCACCCAGAGCGTCGCCTAAATTGCTCGAAATCTCGAGAACCGCTTATCAGAACCTATCGATGTGGGGTCGGAAAATGTAGCTGACGATGAGATCTAGTGGGGGATTAGAGTGTTGAGCTTCTGTGAAAACTTTGAAAGCCTTAAAATAGTCACCAACTCGGCTCAGCGCAGTGCAGTGGTAGGGAAGAGGTGGTATCTTTTCTTTCCCCTACCTGATATTCAACGGGAGTCTCCGTGCCGTTAAAGATTGCTCCACCCGATAAAGAGTAGAGAACCAACTTACTATTTAGATGAGCTAATGGTCCATGTTTCATTGCCGTATTTTTTCTAATAGTAGTGCACCCAGAGCGTCACCTAAATTACTCGAAATCTCGAGAACCGCTTATCAGAACCTATCGATGTGGGGTCGGAAAATGTAGCTGACGATGAGATCTAGTGGGGGATTAGAGTGTTGAGCTTCTGGGAAAACCTTGAAAGCCGTAAAATAGTCATCAACTCGGCTAGGCCGGGGTGCACTACTATTAGAGAAAATACGGTATCTTATTGTCTTATTGACCACGCTTTATTTCATTTCTTGAATAAAGTATGAATATATATATATATCTTTCTTTTTAATGTTGATTCTTTTATTGATAGTTTTATTGATAAATTAGAATTGTTACTTTTTATGTTTATTGTCTTATCTTAATAAAATGAAAAAAAAATCTGCCTATTTTCTTGAATTTTTAAAAGAAATAGGATTCCTTTGCGTTTTACATGAAATTTTATTGATTCAGTAAGCATCTACCGTATTCTCTCTAATAGTAGTGCATTCTCTAATAGTATTGCGGTCCGAGAGGGGGTAAAAAAAATAGTAGTGCACCCTCGAAAATTTGAATTTCTGATGCTTCTTTTTCATCTAAACCTTTTTGACTTTATGTTTATGTGACATTCTAAAGCTATTCAAGCAAGCAAAAGTGAGGCTTTTTTATTCATTTATTAACTATTCTTCACATGAAAAAGTTAGCAAAAAATCTAAAAAATCTAAAATTGTTGTGCAAAGTGCAAAAACATGTTTTTGTTGTTTGTCAAGACACAAATTGTCAACTCGCCGGCCCACAATTGTATGTCAAAAGGAGCCAAAGGAGTACGTGAAAGAATTGCAAGAATTTTTGGAATAAAGCTTATATCTGTCTTACTTTGGTAAATGATAAAACTCTTTAATAGTACTGCACTCTCTAATAGTATTGCGGTCCAGGAGGGGGTTCAAAAAATAGTAGTGCGCACTACTATTAGAGAGAACACGGTATTTGGTTTTTTTGATCGAAAAAATAGTCCTGCGCAAAACTAATAGAGTAAATACGGTATTAGTAAAGTTAAAAGATGTTTTCAAACCTATCCGCCAATTCTTTTTGGAGATTCTCGATGTTCGCCTTGAGTTGATTGGCCTCGGTTTGATAGGTTTCCAGCTGGAAATCGCCTTTTGTTATAGAGCTAAGAGATAATTTAATAAAAAGGGTGCTGTAGTCTAGAAACAACTTTAAAATCGAATAATACCATTGAAAAATATTCGCCTGACCTGTTGCTGTCTTTCCTTATCTCCCGTCCTTCTCAAGTCATCCACCAATGCTTCTAATTGTCTCTTCTCTTCCATCACTGAAATTTCAACACATTTTTCGGTTTCTTATCGGTTTTCAAAGGTTTTTGTGAAGATTTTTACTGCCAACTGTCAAAATTGACAGCTTGACCCATTAAAAGCCTTTTCAGCAGCCTCCTCGGCATGGTGAGATGGCCGAGCGGTCTAAGGCGCCAGTTTAAGGCACTGGTCTCTTCGGAGGCGTGGGTTCGAATCCCACTCTCATCAGAGCTTTTGCTTGTTTGTTTTTTATCAACAATTATTATAATCAATGTTATGATATCATAGATATCCTAGACTCACATTTTTCAATTCGTCCCATCAGCTCCTTTTCTTTGATCACATCCGGATGAGACATTAGCCGCTGTTTCATTCGATCGATTTCATCTGAAAATTGAAAATTTAGATGGAGCTAAAGCAATTAGCTGTTAAACTATTAGCCCTTTGACTAGTTATTTAAAGATAAAGCTTGGTTGAGCAAAAAAACTCACTGTCTTTATCTCTCAACGTGTTTTCCAAGCCGTCTAGTCGGCCGACTACTTGCGTCATTCGGAGCTCAGTTTGACGAACCTGAAATCGCATTTTATTGCTGTAAAAGCATTGTAAAGATTATCGAGAATTGATTTATTTATTTCATTACATTCTCCAATCGATCAGCTCCCTCATTCCGACAATCTCTCAAATCTTTCTCTAATCTCAGAATTTGTCCGTCTCTTTGCTCGACCATTTGATGTTTTGCTTCCAATTTCTTTCGGAGTGCTTCCACCTGAATTTTTTCGTTTAAATAAAAGATAGAATTCACTTACATCTCCTTGCAGAATCGTGTTCGTATGTTCTTTCACATTCGAGTTATCTCGGAAAGCTTGAAGATGCGATTTTAGCTCCATATTCTCATCCTCAAAGTCATGAAGTCGGACCTGGAATCAAGTTGGATAGATGCCAACTGTCAAAATTGACAGCTTGGTGCATTGAGAGCCTTTTCGATTTGCTGCACCTCATGCCGTGATGGCCAAGTGGTCCAAGTGGGATTAGGCGGACATCCAAGTGGGGCCAGGCTATGGTCCTGGTCTTGAGTGGCCAAGTGGCGCCGGTTTGAGGCACCGGATTGTGCTGAGGCGTGGTTTCGAATCCCACTCTTAGGAAGTTTTGCTTTTTTGCTAATCAATTTTAAGATATCATAGATATCCTGTTCTAGAACCAAATTTACGGGTTAAAAACCAATCCAGGGTATAGCTTGGCCTAGGATTAGCCACTGGCTTGGTCTAGGATTGCCCTAACAATTTTGGAGATCATCTAGGCCCAGGCTATAGTCCTGGTCTTGATCTTGGCCTAATCTGAGCCATAGCTTTGGCCTAGAGGACCATTTTTGATAGGTATTGTTTTTGAAAAGTCTAAAATAGAAGTCGAATTCAGTCAACTAACTAAATTGACAATTTTTCCCATCTCTCACCTGGCACGACGCCAACTCTTGTTTCCTCTCGCTCAATTCGATCTCACTCCTTTCCATCTTCATCCTCATCGTCACCAAATCGTGATTGCTGACCGTTTTATCAGTGAAATCTCTCGGTTGTTGTGAGCGAATTGCCCGAAAATGTGTCAACTCTTCCTCCATCCTTGCTATTCTCTCATTCTTTTCGTCTAATCTCCTCAACGCTGTTTCTAATGCAAATCGTCCGCTTTGATCCTAAAAAAGATCGACAATTCATTGCCAAATTCTTACAAACCCCGGAATGCGCTTGTTTCACCATTTCTTGTAGATGTTCGACCGTTTGCTCTAATTCTCTGTATCGAATTTCATTAACGGCACTCAGCATCCCTGATGGTCCTTGTTCGTCCAGCATTGCGGTGAGTTGCCGGATTCTTTCGTCTCTGAAAGTCGAAAAAGTGATAGGCCAAAATTGACAGCTTGTGATTAAAAGCCCTTTTGAGACGCCGTCTTCCCGATGGTGAGATGGCCGAGCGGTCTAAGGCGCCAGTTTAAGGCACTGGTCTCTTCGGAGGCGTGGGTTCGAATCCCACTCTCATCAGATAGATTTTGCTTTTTTATATACAATAACTTTATCCTGCCACCAAAAACCCCCTATGCAATACAATCAAAAAAAAAGAATTGTAAGGGCAAGGCCTCAAGATTCGTTTTACTGCCAACTGTCAAAATTGACAGCTTGTGATTAAAACCCCTTTTGAGCAGCCCCCCCCCCCGGTGGGGAGGAGCGGAAGGCGCCAGGTTTATGAAGCACTGGGCTCTTCGGAGGCGTGGGTTCGAATCCCACTCTCATCACAACTTTTGGTTTTTTGGATAAGTAATGAACTGAGCGTGAAGTTTCTGGTGCATTTTCAAAATTGAAGCTAGCAGAGGTCTTTGAAAACTAGCAGAGGTCTACTACGGTTTTCCTACTGCTGAGATCGGTTGACCTTGATTTAAGCTCGATGTTAAGGGATATTCTAACGTAAAGTACTGCCCGTGTTTAACACAGATTCAATGCTGAGTGACGGCTGTTTCTGGTGAATGGCTGGATCAAAGGATCTCAAAATTTGCAAGAGCATGTAATTTTGGGTCCTCTTTTCCAATTCGACGTTAGTTTTAGGAAGAAGTTGTGTGATTTTTCGTAAAAAGCGGAAAAACCGGGTGTTGGTCTAGATTTAAGGCCGGATTCGGATTCTAGAGTCTTTTAAGCCTTTATTTGCAAGTTTATGGGATTTCTGGGATTCCTTTTGATCCTCCACAATCGGCCGTTTCGTAAAAGAAGTGGTCATCGATGTGTTAACATTGAAATCGTTGTGTTTTTGTTTCCAACTACCTGGCTGCGATTTCCATTTGCAGTGCCGCATTTCCTCCAACAACACTCGCCGCACTTCCACCCGCCGCCGCCAACATTCGCTCCAATTGTGCGATCCGTGTGGCTTCTTCTCTTCTGAAAATTCGATTGATTAGTTTACTTAATAGAAATTTTAGTTTCAATTGCTTACAACAATTGTACAATACAATTGTAAGCTCTGAAAGAATCTGAAGGTACTTGGCAACCATCTAAAGGAGTAGAATGGCTAGATTCAACAAGGAAAAGCAAGCAACAACAAAAAAGAACCTCATCTGTCTCTCCCTTTTCAACTCGGGACTCCAAAATTGTCGTATACTGTTCATCGTTTGATTCAACTTCTCAAGATTCGTCGCGTAATCGGATTTCAATTGAGCGAACTCTTGTTGAAGGCTCAGCCCACCGCCGAGTTGATCTCCATCATATCTTCTGAAAGAAAGTTCTTGAAGAGCTGATAAATGAAAGATTAAATCGAGGTTCTTCTTCTTATTACTATTAGAAATTTGAAAGCTTTCCACTCACAAAGCTGTATCATTCCAATATCTTTGCCCAGAGGCTGTTGGATTAGAGAGAGGACCCGAGCTTCTCATGTATGATGAGGGACCATCACGAGAATAACTGAATTCAAAATTTTAGAGGCTAAAGTGTTGTGCTTCTTGAATATTTCATAACTATATTAGGTTGGTGCAAAAGAAATTTCGGTCGATGTAAAATGTTCTTATTTTTTTAATCTGAAGAGCTTATTTGATGTTCTTTTGTGCATTTGTACTCTTGGATATTTACTTTATTTTCGCATTTTTTCAAAGTCAGAGCTTTCACTTTTTAATTGATTTTTGCTTTAGATCATGGTGGATCAAAAGTATGTTCTGCGCACGTGTCTTCTCTATGACTTCAAAATGGGCAAAAACGCTGCTGATTTACATCGTGATCTCTGTTCCGCCTTTGGAGAACAGGTTATCACCGAAAGATCATGCCAGCTCTGGTTTGCCCAATTCCGAGATGGTAATGAATCCCTTGAAGACGAATCGCATGGACATGGCACGATGCCACAAGCCATCGACAACAATGAATTGGAACAATTAATTGAAGCTGATCCAATGCAAACAACACGAGAACTTGCCAAACATCTCCAATGTGATCATTCAACAATTGTACGCCATTTGGAAATAATTGGAAAGACAAATCGTAATGGACAATGGGTTCCACATCAATTGAGTGTTGAGAATCTGGGAGCACGCGTTTCGATCAGCCATATCTTGCTCCATAAGTCGAAAAGAAGCCATTTTTTTGAGAATATCTTGACGATGGATGAGAAGTGGATTCACTTTGATAATACTTCTCGAAAAAGGCAATGGCTGAGCAAAGGTCAAGCGCCAATTCCAACTCCAAAGCCGGATTATCATGGGCGCAAAGTGATGTTGTCTTGCTGTCTAGTGTTTACGTGGCAAAGAAACTGTCTTAAAATTATTCAAATTCTACAAGGTTTTCAAGAATTACGACCACTTTTTCTCTAGCTTCGCCTAGAGTTAAGCATTCCTGATTTTTGATAGAATTTACTGCTTATTTTCAACCCATTACTTCAATACTTTACTTAGAAACTTCAAAATTAGCATTTTTTTTTTTGAATAGCAATGATTTATGTTTAAAATTTGGCCATAAGGCACTCGTTTTTTAAAGATTTGCTGTATAAAATTGATATAAAATTGCTAATTTTGAAGTTTCGAAGTAAAGTATTGAAGTAAAGCGTTGAAAAAAAGCATTAGATTCTATATTATCAAAAATTGGGAATGCTTAACTCAGAGAAACGGGAATGCTTAACGACCGTGACTAGAAAAAGAAAACTAGAAAAAGTGACCGTAATTCTTGAACACCCTATACTTAGCTTTAAGCTATCAAGCTATCAAGTCACCTTTAAGCTATCAAGCTTTCAAAAGACTCAAGATAAATGCCTCCAAAGCAGTTTTAGCATCATTTTTGCTTTCACTTACCCAGATGTGGCAACGGAGAGCGGTTGAAAGTCGTCTAGTCGATGCTGTTGTTGGTGCTGTTGATGGTGATCGGAAATCACTCCCTCGATGTCCATCGAGCGGTGTTGTCTGGAAAAATTGTTGAAAATAGAACTTAGATTTGTAAATTAGCTTCTACAAGATCCAATAGGTTGATGCATAAGTCTTTTCGTTTTTTTCGTACTTCTGTTAAAAAGTAACAAATTCACCAATTAATCTATAGTTTGCTCTATGAAAAAAGTGTTTTTTTTGTTCAATTTGCATCTTTTTAAATGAATTTCGGTTCACTTTCAAGCAAATTCGAGAGTGAAAAACGCCTTTTTCGTAAAAATCTATAAAAAACTCTACGGAAAAATTGGCTGAATGAATTTCTCTGAAATTTTGGCGAAATATCAAACGTTTTTTTTCTCTATCTTTTATCTATTGACACGAAGATACCGTAAATACTGTAATAGTACCCCACCCCCATAATGACGGTGCGGAGTTTTGCGTAGTCTAGTTTTGAACGCGTTTTTCTCGACACTGGTTTAAGCTACAATGTTCGTTTAGGTATCAAAAAGTAGCCCTGAATTTCAGCTATTTTTTGATACCAAAGACGTATTTTTTGAAAGTACGGGCGCTTTGAAAAAAATAAAATACTAAAAAACTTTTGCGACTACGCGACTGTACGAGGGGGTGGTGGGGTACTATTACAGTATTTACGGTAGGTTTTCTTTAGCTAAGGTGTCTAAACCGCATCATCGAGTTAGCCCTTTTTGACTACCCGACTTCATACTCTCAAGAAAATCCAGGCATTCAATATTTTTAAACCCGTTTTAATGTTATTTTGCAGAAAAATAATTGGTTTTTCTAATGAAATCAACCGTAGTTTAATTGGTGCATTTGTTGGCTTGAAACGGCAGACGAAAAGGAACAAAAACACTTATGCATCAGCCTATTAATTTTGGTTTAGTTATGTCAGTTGTCAACAAAATTCTTTTAAATCATGAGATATTCTATTCACAAGCGAAGGTCAACTGGCTGAGTCGGTCACATGCTATGCAATCTATACCATTCAATGCAAAATTTTATGCTAATTCCAAATATGTATTCGGTTTTTGGTAAACGACAATCTAACAGGAGTTATAAGCGTCCTGGGAAAAGTCTAATTTATTTTAAAACTAGCAAGTGTTATATAGAGAATTGTAGCCCTTAATCTTGGCATCATTTATCTAAAAAAAACTTCCGGTTTGGAATCATACAACTCATTTTACAAGCTCTTGAATGATCTCAAGTCTCAAGGCGATAGGCCTATTTGACACACAATATTATGCAATGTTTTTCTCAATTTTGAAGAAATCAGATCAATTGTTTGCCTTTTAGCTTTACGAATTTTAGTATAGACACTGACGACACGTTTTTTTTGAAAAAGTTCCTGACAAACAGACGTTTTATTCGAAACTTTTAACGACTTATTATCAAGTGTTATATAGAAAAATAAAGCCCTTAACCTTGGGATCATTTATCTAAAAAGAACTTCCCGATTGGAATCATACAACTCATTTTAGAAGCTCTTGAATGATCTCAAGTCTCTCTCTGGCGATAAGCCTATTTGACACACAATATTTTCATCTAGAAAGACATTGCTCCAATCAAACTTCTGGTATTTTTACTTTAAGTACCATTTAACAAAAATATAATGCAAAATCATGCGATATTTTATTCACAAGGGAAGGTCAACTGGCTGAGTTGGTTAAATGCTATGTAATCTATACCATTTAACGCAAAATTTTATGCTAATTCCAAATATGTATTCGGTTTTTGGTAAACGACAATCTAACAGGAGTTGTAAGCGTCTAAAGTTTTGTTGTGGTCATTTGGGTCAGCGGCCTCAAAAGAGGGATACTTTAATCGCTCGCGCATCAAATAGTGCAAAAATTTGTAAAAATCTAATTCAGCAATCGTTTTACCTTAGCAATTTCTTTTTAGAAGTCATTAAAAGAATTGAATGAACAATAGAGAATTGTGGAAAAAGTTTCGGTGATCTTTTCTCCATTTTTGTTTCGACAAAGAAAAAAAAGGAAAAGAAAGTAATTGGTCTTCTTCTTTTCTTTTCTTTTTCTATTTGCTAGTTCTCTAGTCAGCCAGAGTCAGAGCTAAGAAAGATCTATACTATAAAGAAGAAAAGAAAAAGGGTTTCTATTTTTGAATGAAAGGAAAAAGGTGAGCGAAAAAGAAGCCTCGTTACCAAACTTGTGCACAATTCTTGCGGATGCTAATTTTCGGGAGAATTCAATTCAGAAGAAGTAGAGGGAGATGTTTGATTAGAATCATGAAATAACTATTGTAAATACTGTAATAGTACCCCACCCCCTCGTACAGTCGCGTAGTCGCAAAAGTTTTTGTGTATTTCATTTTTTTCAAAGCGCCCGTACTTTCAAAAAATGCGTCTTTGGTATCAAAAAATAGCTGAAATTCAGGGCTATTTTTTGATACCAAAGGTAATGACGGTGCGGAGTGTTGCGTAGTCTAGTTTTGAACGCGTTTTTCTCGACACTGGTTTAAGCTACAATGCGCGCTTAGGTATCAAAAAATAGCCCTGAATTTCAGGGCTATTTTTTGATACCTAAGCGCTCATTGTAGCATAAACCAGTGTCGAGAAAAACTCGTTCAAAGCTAGACTACGCAACACTTCACTCGCTTCGTCATTATCGCGCGAAAGAAGCCTTTTAAGCGAGATATCGCAAACTTCTATGCCAGATATCGGGCAGGCGTATGGGCAGCTGATTTTTACACCATTTTGATCAGCCTAGTCAATTCTACAACTTCTATTTTGACATTGGGCAATCAGCGCATTGTAGCATAAGCCAGTGTCGAGAAAAACTCGTTTAAAGCTAGACTACGCAACACTCCGCACCGTCGTTATGGGGGTGGGGTACTGCAAAAAAGCAAATAAACACATCTTTCCTTTTTTTTTTCTTTTTTTTTTTTTTTTTCCCCTCCCCTTTTTTTTTAATTTTATACTTTTAAAATTTTTTCCCTTACCTTACTTGTTATGCCCCACCCCCTTTTTCTTTTTTTTTTTTTTTTTTTTTTTTTTTTTTCAAATACTTCTTTTTTTTTTTTTTTTTTTTTTTTTGATTCCCTTTTTGCGGGGGAAAATTGATGAATTGAATGGTCAAAAGTGAAAACGAAAGTGAATGCCTACTTTGTGTTCAAATGGGTAAACCGCACACTTCCTGGCGCACTTAATACCCTCATTTTTCTTTCTGCTATTCTACTTTTTAAAAAATCTAGTGCACCAGAAATTGTGTTAACACAAAGTTTACCTACTTTTATTTGATCGTTTGATATCTAAAATCAATGTGTGTCTTGATCTGTTGGGAATAAGTTAAAAATAAACTTGAAAATCTTCTTTAGGATATTGCTAGTTAAACTAACTAAGCGTCTAATAAAGAAGTAAAGGAATTGACAAGAAAAAGAAGATTTACGATGGGATTGAACCATCGACCTTTTGCTTTCCGAGCAATTGCTCTAATCACTGAGCTATCGAATGTCTTAACTTTCAAAGAGAAAGAGGGGAAGACAATGGAGAAGAAGAAAGGAAGGAAGGAAGGAAGGAAGGAAGGAAGGAAGGAAGGAAGGAAGAAAGGAAGGAGGAAAGAAAGAAAGAAAGAAAGAAAGAAAGCAAGAAAGCAAGAAAGCAAGAAGCAAGAAGAAAATACCGGTATCTTCAGAACCGTGGGCTTCCGCCAATAAGAACCATTAGAGAAAAACGAGAACCATTAGTATTAGTAATAAAGAAGTAAAGGAATTGGCAAGAAAAATTAGAAATTTCTTCTTTTACCCATTCTCCTCTTTTCGATAGTTTTGCGGGCGATGACAGAATAGCCAAACCATAAACGGATTTGATCAGAAATTTAGAAAATATTGCACCAGTAATAAGTTGGAAAAATTTGTAAACACCTACTGGTGTTTACAAATTTTGGAACCAGTAATAAGTTGGAAAATTTTGTGCCACAAATGCTGATCAGTTCCACTGAGAGAAATCGAGAGAATAGGGAAATGAGAAAAGAAATTTGCTGAGAAAGGAATTTCAAAAATGTTTTTATCGGGATCAACGAAAAAAAGCGGAAAAGATGAAAAAATGAAAAACTTTTTTGAGTGCGGCGTTTTGTTGGGACGTTCTTTTCTTTTTTTTTTTGACATTGGCCTCTTTTCATTCGATGTGATCAATGAAAAGAAGAGGAGAAAGGGGAAAAAAAGTGTGCAAATATACGCGTAAAAATCATCCAGACTGTTAGGAATGGAGGGGAAATGCTGAGAGTGACTATAAGAATTGATAAAAGTAAAGCTAAGGCCGATTTGACTCAAGTAGCTTTATTAAATTTGTTTCCAAAAGTCACTTTGTTTCCAAAAACGGACATTAGTTTTATAGGCATAAATGTAGAGAATAAATAGAGCTTTTTTTTTTGAAAGATATAGAGAAATAAGCTGTTTTTATTTTATTGTGATTGTAGAAAAAGTCGTTTAGCGCATTTTTGCAAACCCAGAAGATGGGAAAAGTCGTTCAATGAGCGTAAAAACGAAGGCGTTCAATTCAAGTTGTTTCGAGGATTTCTAATGAATCAATCAATCGATCAATGATCGATCAATGATCAATCAACGAGCAATTCTAATGAATCGATCAATCAATGAACTTCAGGATACACACTGCTTAGTTTAGAAGACGAAAAATACGAAGATGAGATTTGAGCGCAAAAACCAAGGCGTTCAATTCAAGTTCTAATAAATCGATCAATCAATCAACGATCAATATTCTAATGAACGTCAGGATACACACTGCTTAGTTTAGAAGACGAAAAATACGAAACGAGAAGCTATGGGGTGCTTGGTAAATGGAAAGGATTGGGTAACTGAAAGAAGATAAGACTTTTTCAAAATTTTCAAAATTGGGAATTGCAATCGATAGGGAAATTTCGCAATATTATCAATTTTTAGTATATCATTTTTTTCAAAGCGCCCGTACTTTCAAAAAATGTGTCTTTGGTATCAAAAAGTAGCCCTGAATTTCAGCTATTTTTTGATACCTAAGTGCTCATTGTAGCACCAGTCTCGAGAAAAACTCGTTCAAAGCTAGACTACCCAAGACTCCGCACCGTCATTATGGGGGTGGGGTACTATCATCAATCAACGATCAATTCTGATGAATCGATCAATCAATGAACTTCAGGATACGCACTGCTTAGTTTAGAAGACGAAAAATACGAAGATGAGATTTGAGCGCAAAAACCAAGGCGTTCAATTCAAGTTCTAATAAATCGATCAATCAATCAACGATCAATATTCTAATGAACGTCAGGATACGCACTGCTTAGTTTACAATACGAAAAATACAAAACGAGAAGCTAAGGGGTGCTTGGTAAATGGAAAGGATTGGGTAACTGGAAGAAGATCAAACTTTTTCAAAATTTTCAAAATCGTGGATTGCAATCGATAGGGAAATTTCGCAATATTATCAATTTGATAATCGACAATGTAATTCAGCAATGTTTATTAGCAATTTGATGATTTTCTTCTGAGAAAATCAATGCCTAAAGTGTTTTTGTGAGGCAAAAAGTGAGTCAAACTGAGTCAAACTGAGCGTTTCCCGTTTCACTCACCTCTTATTCCATAATAAAGATCGTTGAAATTTGTAAATTCTCTGTTTTGGCACATATTTTTGAAGTTTTCCTTCAAGAAAATCCATTTTTTAAAAGGTAAAAACGGGAATTTCCCCATTTTCCCCTTTTTTACTATTCCCTTTTCTCAAGCATATCACTTTTCAAATTGTCATTAGAGTTCTTTTATATTTTGCCATCAAAAAAGATCAACTTTCAAAGAGAAAACGGAAAGAAAACGGAGAGAAAACGATGAAAGATCATTCGAATTGAAATTGTTATGTTTTAAACTTTTAAATTTTCACCTAATCAACGGATTCCTTCGATCCAGCATCGCCTGTCGACCACTTGATGGGGCGGGGCCTGAAAAGGAGAAAAAGTGAAATTGATGATCATTTCATTTCAAGACAAGACGATTGATCAAAGGTCAGGTTTTTATTGGATAAACTGGCAAGCTGCAAGCTGTAAACTTGCAGGCAAGCAAGCAAGACTTCAATGAACTCCATTTTTTTATTATAACGAAAGCTTCAAGCTACTTATTGTAGTTGTAAAAGAGAAATTACTAAAAATCTAAATATTAAAAACCCACGAAACATCAGGAAATCTTTTTCTAATTCAACTTTTTCACTAGGCTGCCCGTAGCTGCCATAGCTGGCTAGGAGACTGGTTAGGAGTCCTGGATTCAAGTCTAGAGGTCAAAGGTTCAATTCCCTCGCTAGATTTTTGGTTTTTTCCACTTTTCTTTCAACATTTAGGGATTAGATGTTGTGCTTTTGTATTGCTTGTACCACATTATTCATTTGAATAAATGTAAAATGTATAGGAGGTTAACCAGAACCACAACAATGTGCTAAACCCAAATTTAACTGGGGGAGGTGGAGCCCGGAGGATGAGCCCACGCCAGCAGCCCCGAAACCCCCATAGTAACGATCAGGTCAAATACTAAGGATTTCGATTTAACTTGACCCGGTGCTTGGCTTGACTTTAATGCCTAGAGCTCTTGACATCTCGTTGACAACTCGAGAATCGCTTACCTACAACATTCGAGGAGCTGGGCGCGAATTGGTGCGGCGGTGGGGGAGGTGGAGCGCCGGAGGATGAGCCCACGCCAGCAGCCCCGGAACCCCCATAGTAACGATCAGATGATGTGTTGGCTCCATCTGAAAATCGATCATGAAAACTCAGAAAGATCGTAGAACCATATTACACTAGATTTCATTGTAGACTTTTAGTGTTCTTTAATAGACTTTTGCTCTCAAATTGAAGTTTCTAGCTCATTAGGGAAAGGCAATAGTAGGTTGTGGCCAAATAAAATAAGCCATAAACCATTTGACGCAGAATTTCACGCTGTTTCCGAATCTGCTTTCAGTTCTGCTTTCTTTTCTGATAAACAGATGTAGACAATTAGAAGTAACCTTCCAGGGCTCTCTATGTTCTCTCTTCCAGGCTCTCTTCCAGATGATGCTCGATTTTTTTTGTGTGTATGTGTACACAGAGAACACTGGTAAATGCAAAAGAAAAGTTTTGCCAAAAACGAGTCGAACTCGAGAAAAGAAAAATGTAGCTCCCGTTTTGTATGCAAGCAAATCCTCGCTGATCCACTACACCACTATCCACTACACCATCAAGTCTCATGCCAGACCCATGAGAGAACCATTATAAAGGCATCGCTCTTTCGCATTTTCACTTTAAAACTTGAAAAACGTATAACTTTTTGATGGAAAGCCATTTGGCAAAAACGGAAAACAGATTCGAAATGAGCGTGAAATTCTGCGTCGAATGGTTGACTTACCGTATTTCTTCGAATAGAAGACCGGATAAAGAGTATGATCGCGTACTCCTGCGTAGCAGCCCTTTTTAAAATTTCTTTTCTGCATAAAAGCTTTCAATCAAGTGCTGTAGAGCTGGAAAATGGCTCAAAAATTTGTGTGGTATTTTTGAGTCATTTTCCAGCCCTATAGCACTTGATTGAAAGCTTTTATGCGGAAAAGAAATTTTAAAAAGGGCTGCTACGCAGGAGTACGCGATCATACTCTTTACCCGGTCTTCTATTCGAAGAAATACGGTATCTCATTTGAAATCCTGCTGCCGCCTTTCCCCTATCATTTTTCGAGTTTCAAATTAAGCTAATGGCAATAGAAATAGCGGTTAATAACAAATTAAGCTAAAAAAAAATCGATTTCTAACATCATTGTATTGGGTTGATGGAAAATTCCTTTCCGATTTTTTGAAAGTACCTTAAATTTGTCCAATTTTAGACGTTTTATAGCTCATCCTAAAGCTGAATTCAAGACGGATCGATTGGTAAAAACCGTTTTGAGATATCTCTTTTCTAAAAGTTTTTACAGCTATTTTAGTAAAGGGCGGCAGAGCCAAAAAATCGACTGTTTTCACGTTTCGTTAGTTTTCCGTGCAGAAACCTAGGCTAAAAGCATGTGTTTCGTGATCGGCGTCAAAAATAACCCCTAGACACAAATTTTCAGAATCTTAGCAAAAAATTTTTGAAAAATATTGTCACCGGTGGGAGTCGAACCAGCGACCCTCAGATCAATAGCCTTTCCGCCGCTTTTCGCGATTTTCCTTCGTTTTTCTCGCTTTTTTTTTGTTATTTGTTTTCTCTTTTTTGTTATTATGGTAAATTTTAGGGACAACACTAGTTCTGCACGGAAAACCAAACGAAACGTGAAAACAGCGATTTTTTTGGCTCTGCCGCCCTTTACTAAAATAGCTGTAAAAACTTTTAGAAAAGAGATATCTCAAAACGGTTTTTACCAATCGATCCGTCTTGAATTCAGCTTTAGGATGAGCTATAAAACGTCTAAAATTGGACAAATTTAAGGTAATCTCCCAAAAAATCCGAAGGGACTTTTCCATCAACCCAATATTTCATTTTTACTCACAAATATGTTCCATGGGGGTCCTGGAGGACTGTTGGAATCGTCGTCCCTCCAATCGTCCCTCGCCCAGCCTCGACCTATCCAGTTCTCTATTTTCTGAAAAAAAAAAACGACAAATTAGCCGACAAAGATAAAAGATTAAACGCCAAAAAGAAACATCGAAAGAAAGAGAAACAAACACTGAACTCTGATCAGCGAGGATTTCCTTGGCGATATTAAAGTGGCCAAGTGAGACAATCCTCGGCATGAGACAGGGAGTGATTGAGTGAATGGAGATCCCTTAAACAAAAAAAAAAAGATCACAACAAATCGACTTGGGGGAAAACATTGATTTGAGAAAAGAATTTGGGGAATGAAGGAAATGATGTCAGGTGGATTTTTAAGTAAAAATTTTACCAATCAAGCAAAAGAAATGGGTTGAAATTGTTTAAATTGGTGCAAAGTTTAAGTCTTATTTAAAAAAAATACCGACTGGGGCTACCAGTGGTGAATTTATCGCATACACGAAATATATCAATCACAATACAACGACACACACAATACTAGGCTATATCATAACTTAACCCACGTCATGACGGACGGCTCCCTAACCCTAAGCTCAATGGGGAACTAAATAGCTTTTTTGGTGGTGAAGGGAAGATGACGATGAAGGAGTGGCTTGTCACTTTAAAGAACTGGGGCCACAACCACCAGACTGCCCTCCAGAAAACCTCTCAACCCGAAGGGAAAGGAAATCCGAAGGGGGTGACCATGTCGCATGTGGGGTTCGAACCCTCGACCTTCCGATTAAGATAAAAGACACTTAATCAGTCAGCCACACTTATTTGATCAAAGATTTCTCAAGACAATGATTTCAATAAACTTTCAAAAACAAGGGTAGGAAAGAAAGAAATGGCGTTGAAAGAGATAAAGCTGATAAAAAAGAAATCAAATTTGTAAAGAAGTTAATGTAAAGTTCATTGATCACATCTTCTTAAACTACAAAAGTTTACTAGTAAGCTGAATTCGAAAATTGTAAGATTAAAAAGGCTTAGCATTGTTTCAAAGCTCAATTTCAAGTGGTGTTTTTGCAATTATGCAATGTTTTTCTCAATTTTGAAGAAATCAGATCAATTGTTTGCCTTTTAGCTTTACGAATTTTAGTATAGACACTGACGACACGTTTTTTTTTGAAAAAGTTCCTGACAAACAGACGTTTTATTCGAAACTTTTAACGACTTATTATCAAGTGTTATATATGTCGTAGCCGATTAAGGATTTCAGCCGAAGAAGTCTCAGACTTCTTCGGCTAGCCGATTAAGTCTCAAATTTTTTCGCTAGCGAAACCTTCTTCGGCTAGCCGATTAAGTCTCAGACTTCTTCGGCTAGCCGATGAAGTCTCAAAAATGAAATCTATGACTCAAGTCAATACCACAAACTCAAGCTCTCAAAAAGGCGCTTAAAAGCTAAAAACGCTCTCTAAAAGCTCTCTAAAAGGCGCTAAAAACTAAAAACTTGTAGTGCTATTCTCTCTTCGATACGAATTGAATCAAGAGGTGCTTTACAATCATGGGATCAAAGGCAATTTGGACAAACCCAAGAAAGTCGTCAAGAACGAGGAGCTCTTTGGCCGGTTAACGATCAACAGAAATTAGTGTAGCTTAAACAAAAAATGCACAGTAACAAAAAGAAAAAATAGGATTGAAATAAGGGGTTATGTTCGATTATAAACAGATTAGTGGTAAATAAGTTTTATCGATGATCCAACAAAGGAGTCAAATTGGCTTACAAAAACAAACAATTCTATTTCAAATAAATGACGAATCAGATAGAAAATGGCGAAAAGGGCCCTTTCATAGCCTTTGGTTACAGTATGATAAAATGCGCACTCTTTAGAATGCGTTTTTAGCTTTTAAGCGCCTTTTAGAGAGCTTGAGTTTGCGGTATTGACTTGAGTCAATACATAACTCAAGATTTCATTTTTGAGACTTAATCGACTAGCCGAAGAAGTTTGAGACTTAATCGGCTAGCCCAAGAAGTCTGAGACTTCTTCGGCTAGCCGATTAAGCCTGAAAATACCAGAAGCTGAAATCCTTAATCGGCTACGACATATAGAAAAATAAAGCCCTTAACCTTGGGATCATTTATCTAAAAAGAACTTCCCGTTTGGAATCATACAACTCATTTTACAAGCTCTTGAATGATCTCAAGTCTCTCTCTGGCGATCGGCCTTTTTGACACACAATATGACACACAATTTTCTCCTAGAAAGACATTCCTTCAATCAAGCTTCTGGTATTTTTACTTTAAGTACCATTTAACAAAAGTATAGTACTAGAGAGGCTTATACAGCAAGATTTTCTTGTCAAATGAATATTCGAAAAAGTTCAATTTTCCCTTTTTTGCAGAGTTGAATGAATCCAGAAATCAACCCCAATTTTGGGTTTGGAAAGTTTAAAAAAAGAGTTTACTGCTATCCTTATTGTTATTAAATGATATTAAATGTTATTTTCTCACGAAATCAATATCGAAAAAACTTTTAAACGATTATTTTATTAAGAAAATTACCAAAAATGGTCGATCGTTGGTGAGAGGCTGCTCATTCGAGAGCTTGTAAAATGAGTTGTATGATTCCAATCGGGAAATTCTTTTTAGATAAATGATGCCAAGATTAAGGGCTACAATTCTCTATATAACACTTGATAATAAGTCAGACGTTTGCCAGCAACTGCCAGATGAAAATATTATGTGTCAAAAAGGCCGATCACCAGAGAGAGACTTGAGATCATTCAAGAGCTTGTAAAATGAGTTGTATGATTCCAAACGGGAAGTTCTTTTTAGATAAATGATCCCAAGGTTAAGGGCTTTATTTTTCTATATAACACTTGATAATAAGTCGTTAAAAGTTTCGAATAAAACGTCTGTTTGTCAGGAACTTTTTCAAAAAAAACGTGTCGTCAGTGTCTATACTAAAATTCGTAAAGTTAAAAGGCAAACAATTGATCTGATTTCTTCAAAATTGAGAAAAACATTGCATAATATTGTGTGTCAAATAGGCCTATCGCCTTGAGACTTGAGATCATTCAAGAGCTTGTAAAATGAGTTGTATGATTCCAAACGGGAAGTTTTTTTTAGATAAATGATGCCAAGATTAAGGGCTACAATTCTCTATATAACACTTGCTAGTTTTAAAATAAATTCGACTTTTCCCAGGATGTTTTTCAAAAAATTTCGAAGTCAATTTGTCGAGTCAATGGTTAGGCATCAGATAGAAAAAAAGGCAACTTTCAAGAAGACAAACTAGTCTAATTATAAGCTTTCTTGTGCAACTTGTCAAAGAAATCTCTCATAAATCCGAATTGTCAATGTTTGTGATGGGATTTTTGAGTGAATGGAGAAAGAAAAAGTGAAAAGAAGTGTTTGGGGGAAGAAAAGAGTGCTTGACATAAAGGAAAAGCTTTGAATTCGAATGAAAAGATTCGATTGGAGCCAATTGGGCCTTTTGAAATAGAACAGATGAAAAGAAAGACAAAAAAAAAGACAAAAAAGAACCCGTTCTCTAAACACTCTCAGCTTTTTTTAGGGTCAAAAAAAAGGCCCATGGGATTTGCTCTTCCGGGGTATTGGCTATCCAAAAAGAACTTCCCGTTTGGAATCATACAACTCATTTTAGAAGCTCTTGAATGATCTCTCTGATGATCTCTCAAGTCTCTCTGATGGTAACAAAAAAAATTGGTAAAGTTTGAGGTTTTTAATGAAAGTTTTCTTGTATTTTATTAAAGAATTGAAAAGAAAAAGAATCTTTTGAATCTTTTGGAATCTTTTGAATCTTTTGAAGGAATCTTTGAAGGAATCTTTGAAGGAATCTTTGAAGGAATCTTTGAAGGAATCTTTTGAACTTAGGAAATAGGAAATAATTTAACAAATCTGTGTTAAATCCGAGTTTGGATCTGTGTTAAATCCGAGCTGATTGATAGACTCAATAAAATGCATAGCTCTAATCGATTCCGCGATCCCGAAAACCCTCGGGCACAAATTTACAGCTCAATATCTTCTTTTTGAACCATCTACAAAGCAAAAGAAGAATCCCGGAAGAAAGAGGTGTTCTTTATGCACGTAGGTGATCGCTCGCCATCGCTCAAACGCATCTGGCATAAGGGGCTTCCCTTTTTGAATCCGTAAAGGGGGAAGAGCGGTGAGGGTGTGGCGCGGATGTAGCGCGGATGTGGCGCGGATGTGATGCGGATGTGATGCGGGTGTGGCGCGGATGTGGCGGGGATGTGGCGGGGATGTGGCGCGGATGTGATGCGGGTGTGGCGTGGATGTGGCGCGGATGTGGCGGGGATGTGGCGGGGATGTGGCGCGGATGTGGCGCGGATGTGGCGCGGATGTGATGCGGGTGTGGCGCGGATGTGGCGGGGATGTGGTGCGGGTGTGGCCCAGGTGTGGCGCGGGTGTGGCGCGGGTGTGGCGCGGATGTGGCGGGGATGTGGTGCGGGTTGGCCCAGGTGTGGCGCGGGTGTGGCGCGGATGTGCCGCTGGTGTGGCGGGGATGTGGCGCGGATGTGGCGGGGATGTGGCGCGGGTGTGGCGCGGATGTGGCGCGGATGTGCCGCTGGTGTGGCGCGGATGTGGCGGGGATGTGGCGCGGATGTAGCGCGGATGTGGCGCGGATGTGATGCGGATGTGATGCGGGTGTGGCGCGGATGTGGCGCTGGTGTGGCGCGGATGTGGCGGGGATGTGGCGGGGATGTGGCGCGGATGTGATGCGGATGTGGCGCGGATGTGGCGGGGATGTGGTGCGGGTGTGGCCCGGGTGTGGCGCGGGTGTGGCGCGGATGTGGCGCTGGTGTGGCGCGGATGTGGCGGGGATGTGGCGGGGATGTGGCGCGGATGTGATGCGGATGTGGCGCGGATGTGGCGGGGATGTGGTGCGGGTGTGGCCCGGGTGTGGCGCGGGTGTGGCGCGGATGTGGCGCGGATGCCAATTCGTGTCCATCCTTTATAGAAATGGTTGGAGAAAATCGATTCTCAGAAACGATGTCTACACAAATTCAAAGGATCATCCATTTTTCATGGCCGAATAAAGAGTAGACAAATATTAAATGCCTAGTTGACTGAAAAGGGACCAAATTTGCCTATTTCCACCGTCAAATTGGCAAATGCACGGGGAATTTTTTTTGTCAAAGCGGCAATAATTCATGAAATCCCGTGAGAGAATCGATGAAAGAAAAGATGAGGAAAAGAGATTCCAGCAAAGAATTGTAT